CCTCTGCCCCACATGGCTTGCCAAGCCACAGCAACAATCTACAGGAGGGAGGAAGCTGTCAGTTCTCAGGGAACGATCACTGCCTTGACTGCACAGACCCAAACGTTAACCAAAGTAATTAGCTAATGAGGTCCCTGCCATTCCCCACCTCCCACCCCACCCCCTTGGCACAGCAGGCTTCCAGGGCACTGCAGCTGCAGTGTCCCAATCCTTAGTGGCTGGCACACATCAGAAGTGTAATGTCCATTAGGACCCATGCCAGCCCCTCTTGTGGACAGGGACTGCTGCCATTAGGACAGCTCTGCATGGGAGTGGATCCAGGAAAGGCTGGGCCAGAGGGAAGTGGAGGCCTGGGGCCCCACAAAGAGTTTTGACATTTTGGACTGGGGGTCCCTGCTTGGCTGTGTCCTGAGAGCCCTGTGGCACCTCACATTGAGGAAAGGCAGCGGCTAAGCAGTCCCTGAAACATAAACGTTTTTGTCCCTGATCTCACAGGCTTCCCCTGGGTACTGTCTGCCTGATCCTGGAAAGATCCCCTGAGACAGGGACAGTTCACTTTTCCAGTCCCTGCTGACCTAACAGTTGTGCCCAAGAGCTACTGAACTCATCACTCTTGCTTCCCCCTCTCCCCATCACACGTGTGACAGTGCCACTGCCTCAGTGCTAGCTGGACTGGATTCAAACTAGAGACCTACTGGGGACCAAAATCGAGCTCCCAGTGCCTCTGAGCCAGCCAGGAGTCTGCTTCATCCACCCCTCACTCCCACATGCATGCTTGTTTTCAGTCACTGTCCTTCAGCTGGATCTCAGGGAACAAGCAGCTGGGACACCATCCTGGGCTTTGTATCCTTTGACCCACAGCCACAGGGGTGGGGGCATTATTCTGGGGTAAGGGACCAGGATAGGCATTCAGGCCCCTTTGCTAGCTCGATGGGGCACAGATGGGCTAAGGTTTCGACCTGTTCCAAAGGAACTGCATCACAGTGCCCAGCCCTGCAACAGCTAGAGTAGAAACAGGTTTCCTGATACTTTACTCTATGCAGTTAGCTCTGGTCATTCCCAGGAGGTGCAGCCAGCTTCTGGCTGCAAACATCCTACCCCCAGCCACATGGGACTGACCAAGAAGCAGGGCCTTGTCGTGCTGCTGCAGACCCCCCAGAACCTCACTCCCCTTGGTGTGAGGAACCTGTGGCCATGGGGAGTCCATGCTGCTCACTGAGCAGCAGGGCAGGGAGCCTGTCCACCTTGATTTTTGGGGGTGGGGGAGGGAAGTGCCAGCAGGGACAGTTCCACATGCTTGGGGAAAAGGGTGAGAATTTTGGCAGCCTTTAAAGGTTAGTGTGATATGTTCTGTGTGGTGGGACACATGAGATCCTTCCACATCCTCTTTCCTGCCTCCTCTACCCCATTGCTAAACCTTGTCTCCTTAACAGACCAAGCCAGTAGCATTTGCAGTGAGGACAAATGTGGGCTACAACCCATCCCCTAATGATGACATGCCAGTCCAGGGCATGGCCATCTCCTTTGAACCCAAAGACTTCCTGCATATCAAAGAGGTAGGTGGTGTCTGTCCGAGGATGAGAGACATATGATGTGGGCTGGGGGGAACAGTGTAGCCAGTTGAGGAAGGCCCTGGCACCACATTACAGATACTACTTCTCTCCCTACTGCAGAAATATAACAATGACTGGTGGATCGGGCGCCTGGTGAAGGAGGGCTGTGAGGTGGGCTTCATCCCTAGCCCTGTCAAACTGGAAAACATGAGGATGCTGCAGGAGCAAAAGATGAGGCAAAACCGCCTCAGTTCAAGGTGGGTTCATAGACTGGGAAAGGAGGGGACCACTCTCATCACATAGCCTGGAGCTGGGTGCACTGGAGGGTAAAGCCATTTCAGAACAGGGAGCAGTGGGCAATCAACAAGGCCCTGTCATTAGATGTGTGGCAGGTGGGAAGCATGCCACTAAGCTAGATGGTTGCTTGGTCCATTGGCACTGTCCTGGTGTGGTGGTTCCAGATTTATGTTGTCTCCCAGGATCTGGGTGCCAAAGCCACTCTCCCATTGCTCAGAAATCCCACCCCCCCAAAGATTTGATCCTCTTCTGAGGTACTTACCACCCTCCCCTTTCTGTTCTGTGCAGCAAATCAGGGGACAACTCCAGCTCCAGCCTGGGAGATGTAGTGACGGGGACCCGCAGACCCACCCCACCTGCCAGCGGTAAGACCGTCTGTGCCCCCAACCCTGGAACTGTTTGAAATGGGACAGTGCCCAGCTGGTCAGATGGGGGCATCAGTGTCAGCAAGCAAGGAAGGGATTACTTCCCACTATGGCCTTGTAGCTGAAATGACAGGTCCCTTCCTCCTTTCATCTCTTCAGATGCCAATAAGCCTACCATTAAGGCACCTTTACTGCAGCTCAGTCCCTACTGATGTCTCACAGGGTGAGGAAAGCCCAGGGCAGATCCCCTGTCTGCCTAATGTTGGGGATCAGCTAAAGCCCCAGCAGCTTGAGGTGGAAGTGCTCATCTAGAAGTGGCCAACACTTATCCCAGGATCTACAGCAGGATTCCTAAGTTCTCCCCACCCACAAATGTCCCCCATCCCTTTTGGCCCCAGCACAAGGCAGAGATAAAGGTATAAGTGTAGGGGAGTACTTAGCACACATGGACCTATGAGTCAACACACAACAACATAGAGTAAGACAGAGGACAGTGCACCCAAGGGCAGCTGCTTAAGCAACTCTTGCAGTGTGGCAGACTACTGGGTCCACCACTGATGCTAGTACACACACAGAGACATGGTCTATGGTTAGGCACTTGAGTTTCTGACAAAAGGGTGAATGTGCATCCCTGCCTTGGCACATCTGCACAGGCATGGAGAGGGGACCTGCCACCATCTATCCCAGTGACCTGGCAGGTGGAGACACTAAGTCAATCCCAGCTGGGCTGCCAGACCATCCTTTCATCCCCAACCCAGCCCCCTCTCTACCCTCCAGGAAGCTCTAGTTTTACTTCACCCTTCTATCTCTTTCATTTGCCAAATCACTCTCCCTCCTTGAGCACATCTTTCATTTGTTTTCTTTCTTTTGATCTTTTTAGACATTTCTCATTTTCTGTTTCTACTCATTTTGCTTTGCTCCCTCCTTCCTTTTCTTTTCTTTTCTTTTCTTTTCCCCTTCCCCATGCCCCTCCCTAGGTACTCTGGACATGACTAACTTAGCTTATGACCCTGATGCCCTTGACTTAGAAGATGAGGAGGCCGAAGGCCTGGAGAACCACCGCTCCCCTAAGACTAGTGCTAGCAGTGTCACCACACCCCACTCCAACGTCAAGCGCATCCCCTTCTTTAAGAAGGTAAAGGAGCCCAGTTCAGGGCATGCTCCCTGCTGGGGTTCTGCACCCGCCTGCTGCACCTGTGCTCCTGCCTGCCTTTAACACCCGTCATATGCCCTGAGTGTGAGGCTGGATGCCTCTCTTTGAGAGATCTGGGTTTGTCGAAGGAGGTGTGGGGATGGGGATGGGGACAGGCACAGCTTGAATCTGGTCTTGTCATTGTTCAGCTATTGAACTGGGTTGTGGGTCCTGGCCACATGAGGTGCCATAAAGCATGCTGTGGGGCAGGAGAATCATCTGACGAGCGCCAGCATACCTTGTCCAAGTGGAGGTGCTCATGAGGGACAAGGCGGGGCCACCCATGTACCTGATGTGTGCCAGGAATCCCCACCTCCAACACGGCCCAGACAGGTCCAGCGACCTCTGTGCTGCCCTCCCAGTGCACCAATGCACACATTTCTGAGGCACGTGAATGGTATGTTCCAGTGATCACACACTTAAAGCATGAATTAAGAGCATTCTGGCAGTCAACCCCCCTCCCCCCGTGTGAAGCATGGGAATGGAATGTTCCAGCACGGCCCCCTCCCATGAAACATGGGACAGGTACATTCCAGTGGTTTTGAAGGGGGAGCAACATGAAGCATGGACCATTGCCCCCCTCCATGATACCCCCCGTGAAACATTAGAGTGGAACATTCCAGGGGTATTTTGGTTCACCAGCGATCAATTTGGGAGATCTAGTGGGTGATCCCCAAAATTGTATCAAACCGACTCATTCCACCTGAACCAACATAGAAATGGATCCAGTGTTTCAACAATTTGGAAAGTTGTGTTTTGGGGCCGCCTGAAAGTGCTTGACCCAAAAGACAACAGAATGGTTTTGTTTTGGAGCTATTTAACCTTTTATAACAGGGGTAGGCAATCCCCGGCGCAGGTGCCAGAGCGTGGCACATGAAGGCATTTTGTTTGGCATGTGTGCCTTGGGTCGGAGGGGGAGAAGGGACAAGGGTTGAATTGTCACGATGACTGGGCCCTTTGCAACTCCCCCAGTGTCCGTCCGTGGCACGCCAACATCTTACAAGTTGAAGTTGGCACTCTGTCCAAAAATGTTGTTGACCCGTTTTATAACTTTTTCTCGCTTCCCCCTTTATTTTAATTTATTTTTTTGGAAATGCAGGTGCAATTTTAAATGCCAGTGCCGTTTCAAGCTGGAAAATGGCAGTGCTTTCCCCAAAATGCTTCAGAAAAGCATTTTGGCATTTCCAAAATCAGGCAATTCCTCTTACAACACTTGATTCAGAAGGCTTTGGGGTTCTCCCCGACCTATTATTTTTAGTTGTAAAAATTTATAAATTTGTTTATGGATAGTTTTGTTCTCCTCCCCGCTCTGAAACGCTAGTTCCTGGGTGAATTTAGTATTCAGCAATTTTTTTTTTCCAAATTCTCCCAGCTGTGTCCACCACCCTGTTAAAAGCATGAGAATGGAATGTTCCTCTAAGGCCCTCACTGTGAAACATGGGAATGGAACATTCCATCCATCCCAGGTTAGATGCTGGGGAGGTGGACCCTGTGGGGTACCAGTGGCCTGCAGGAGCAGCCAGGTATGGGGTTTGCAGGCAGCTACCCCACTGCCCCTGGGGTTACACTGAGGCAAGTGAGTAGAGGGGAGCAGCAGTCTCTTTCAGGGCATTCCTCCCCAGGGTTTTACAGGGGAGGGATTATTCAGGGTAGGACAAGTGGGGAGAGGCAGCAGGGGCCAGGGAGCTGCAGGGGTAACAGCCAGGGGAGGATGCTGATGCCAAGGTAGGAGGGGGGCTGCATGGAGGAGCTCTGTATTGCCAGGAGGCTCTCATAGGCAGGGACTGAGATGGCATGCAGAAGAGAGGCTAGAGCAGAGGGGTACATCTGCTGTTCCCAACGGGATGAAAAAATCTTATGTGAAGCAGGAGGCAGGTGCAAAATACAGGAGAAAGCAAGGGTTGGGAGCTGAGCAGTGCTGGGGGACATGCACCTGGGCCTCAGCTGCCCCCACTGTGGGGGGAAAGCTGAATTAACCCCCTTTCCCTCTAGAGTCCCCCACCTTGCTGCCTGAGCCAAGTTCCAGCAGCCCCTCCTGCCGTCCCCTGCCTGTCCCCACTGCCTTTTTGCTTCCGCTGGAGCGATCTGTCAGTAACACGCATGCCTTGTTTATCTCTCTCGTCTGCCCTTCCTCTCCCCACCCCCCACCCCACATTAATGGCGATCACTGGACATAGCCAAGCAGAAGCAGAAGTCGGTGAGTACTACGGCTTTACTTGAGCTCCCTTCCAGCCAGAGCATCCTGAAGTACTGGGTGGGAGGGGTGCCCATAATGGCGGGGGGGAGGGGGGTGCGCTCCTCCCTGCATCTCTGCCTCTGTCGTTAGTCATGTTGGTGTGGCCCCAGGGTCAGACTGTGTTGCCTTAAATGTGGCTCCTGGTATGGCCACCTGGCTCCCAAGCCACAGGGCTGGCAGCAAGGGAAGGGCAGGCCACACCCAGGTACCCCTAGGAAGGTTCAACCCATCCTTCCCCAAGCTCAGGGACCACAGTTCCTATCCCTGTCCCAGAGACACCAGGGCCTGCAGCCCCACTGCCTCCCACTGCCCTCCTCCAAGCTGTGTAACCTCCTGCCCACTGCATCTCTTCACAGGCAGAGCACGTGCCCCCCTATGACGTGGTACCCTCCATGCGGCCAATCATACTTGTGGGGCCGTCCTTGAAGGGGTACGAGGTGAGGAGTCAGGAGCAGGTGCTGGGGATGGGAGGTGCAGAATTTCCTTCAACTTCCTGCAGAGCAGGTGACCCTGAATATGCCCAGCATGTGCTGCATGCTTCCCTCCCCACAGCTTGTTTGTCCATCTGTCTGCTCAGCCATCTCTTCCCCTCCATTTCCTGACCATCCACTCTCTACCTGCACACTCAACCCCTCTCACACAGCAACTGCTCTCCCAGCACCTTCACTCCTGTCCCCCTCAGCACGTGTCCATCTCCCCACCACTCCTCTAGTGCTCCCCACCCTGCCTTGCTCTCCAAGTAGCCTCTTCCATGGGGCAGGAAGTCATATTGGGAAGAGCTCCTTGTGCTTTCACCTTTATCCAGGGTGGGGATTGTGCCTGGTGAGCCAGTGGCATCTGACCTCCGGGTTCTCACACATGTGCGCAGAGTGTATGCCTAACTGTTTGTACACTTGATTTTCCTCCCCATGCCCATTTACCTGTAAAATCCCCTCCACACACACTATACCCATGCATGTAAATGCCTGACTACAGGTATTCATGCATGTCTGACTACACACACGTGTACACACACCCCCATACTTGACTGCATACACGTGTGTGCACTATCTGACCTCCCATACACAAGATTTCTCACATGCATATTCAACTTATCTCTTTCTCTCTTGCACACATGCACACACCCCCACCCACCCTTATACCCCTACACACACACACGCTCCCCAAACCCACCCACACACACGCTGGTGTCATGAATCCCCACTCTGCTCCAGGGTG